TAGAACCAAAAAAAAAAAAAAAAAAAAAGAAACAGATCTGCCTGGGAGAGTGGGCGGCTGCTCGCCCCTGAGTAATCTAAATTCCTTCTGGGCTAAGTGGAGACTTTTATAAGAAAACATTGCAAGGTGAGCAAGAAACTAAACATACTGAGTAGGAAGGATTTTTTTACACACACACACACACACTCACCCCAGTAAATCTCGCGCCCTCCCAGTGCCCGCGGGAGCCGCAGCCCCGGAGACCCCGGGAAAGGACGGCGCCTGGGCGGCCGGAGCTCCTCCGACGGGGCTTCCAGGTGCCCGGTGGAAAGACGCGCCGCGGCCGCCCTGGATGCTCTTCCAGGGGAACCCGAACTCCCAAGGCCCTCAGCAGCCGCGTCCCCTTCGCCTGCCCCAGCGGGACCGACCAGCACTGGACCCCACTTGCCCCAAACCTGTTTCCCAGCCTGGACCCTTGGCGCTTCCCGCGGGCGGGTGCCGGGCGCGGGCGGAGCCCCCTCCCCGACGGTCCCGGTTCGAGGCTGGGACCAGGGGCTCCGGGCTCCGAGGTCCGGTCCACCTGTCTGCGGCAGCCGGGCTCCCGCCGTGGGTCCGCCCGGCCTCCGCGCTGCCATCTGAAGCATCAGCCTCGGCCAGTCCCCTGCGCCCCCAGCTCCCAGGCTGCACTAGCTCTGGAGCCGCCAGCCCTGGGCAGTGTCCCCCGCCCTCTCCAGGCAAACCTGGGAGCCCCCGGTGCGCACCCCGGCACTCACCAGACGGGACCGCCTGCGAGAGCGGGGTGTTCGCTCCGGGGAAGAGCGCGCAGCCACAACCCGGCGCGACCCGGCCGCGCAGCCTCCAGGCCGGCCACCACTGCGAGGCACTCAAAGGGCAGCTGGTTCCCATCTCTCTGCCCCTGGTCGCCCCAGGCAGCTCTTCTGGTGCTCACTCCCCCAGAAATCACCCCCAGAGCCCACAGGACACCGAGAATGGAAAACGCAACCGCTGCCAGTCCGCCCTTACCCGACTGACACCCTGCATGGAAGCCTGTGAAAGGCCCCCGGGGTGCCCCTGGGACGCGGGACCTTCCCGACCGACCTCCATCTGTTGCACCCCAAAACGCCCCTCGCCCCCCCCACCCCCAGCGGCGGACGCCCGTCGCGCGCGCAGCACCTACCCTGGAGCGCCGGTCGGCCGCGGGTGGCACGGCGCTAGTGGGACGCGGACATGGACCACGCGCCCTCCATGCGCCACACGGAGAAGGCGTAGCTGAGGCGCTCGTGGGCCACGTAGCTGCAGCTGGTCATCTTATTGTCCATCTCGTCGCTCTGCAGGACCTGGTAGAGGAAGTCTATGTACCTGGCCGCCAGCTTCAGCGTCTGGATCTTGCTGAGCTTGTCCGAGGGCAGCGTGGGGATGATCTTGCGCAGCGCGGCGAAGGCCTCGTTGAGCGACTGCGTGCGCTGGCGCTCGCGCACGTTGGCCAGGATGCGCTGGCTCTGCAGCTCCTCGAAGGACTGCGCGCTCGGGCTGCCCTTCTTGCCGCGCTTGCCGGGCGTGGGGCTGCCGTCCTCGCTCGACTTCTTGCTGTAGCGCCGCTTCCGGCCGAAGCGCTTGGGCTGCCGCTCCAGCTCCTCCTCGCTGGTGCCCAGGCTGTCCACGGGG